AACCATCAGTATAAATAATTTACACTGTTAATATAAGCATTTCTATGCAGAAGTTTCACCAGCTTAACAATGTATTTTAAAAAGCTGGCCTAACTTCTGTGCAAAAACACCATCAGTCTTTGTTTTGTGTATCTTACAGCACTGGAGCCACTAAATTACCACTCACTGCTATTAGCTTCAGACCCCACCTCCTCGTTAGACTCCCTCATTTCTCTCAAGAACAATGCAGAGCCAAAACTATTCCTCTCTAACTTATTTTCTTTACATTTTGGAAATAGCCACAGCCTCCAAATAGAGTTGCATCAATTACCAAGTGGTGTTATGGGCTCAACCATTTTAATTTCAGCTAAGTGTCTAAAACTTTTCTTTCTGCCTCTAATATTCAGTACCAGCTTTTTTCCAGCAACATCTCCTGAAGCTCCAGCAGCTGAGCTCCAAGATGCACATGATGTTTCTCCAGTTAAAAGTAACGGTAATGCATGTCTTGGACCTTCTAGACACAAACTGCTCCTGCATCAGCCTCCGTGATTTTGCATCCCCAGTTTTCCACCCTGTTCAGAACAATTAAGGTGGATTCCTTCACCATGCACTCTTGACTCAGAAGTCTGCAGCTTCATATTTACTTATGAATGGAGGAGCAAACCTCAAAATTAGGTCTGCCAGGTCAATTTTAGCTTCCTCATGATGCAGGCTCAGCTTCTGACCTCTGGACTACTTACACTGCCTAAACACCAGAGAGATCCTGCACCTTCCCTGAACCACCCTGCGCCGTTCCTCTCCATGTCCAAGTTCGTCATTGAATCATCTCAGACCAGAGGTTGCCACTTTCCTCTAACAGCTCCCCCAGCCATTTCTCCATGTGCTTTCTCTCACACCGTGTTCTGAAGGAATGCTGGCTGTATGTTCTGGGGAGACCTGTGTGTCCAGAGAGGCTGCCAGTGCATGGGCACAAGTATCGGTGGTTCAAATGAAAAGGATGGGTGATGTGATGCTCCACCAGGACTTGCAGACGTCACCAGGAGTGGGCCAAGTACGTGGGCACAATCACAATCCTGGTGATTTCTACCTGCCCTGGTGGAGAACTGCGTCACCCATCCTTTTCATTTGAACCACCAACACTTGTGAAACACCATCAGCTTAGTCAGATCAGCCCTCTGGAAATTAAAGCTTAGATGATGCATCCAGCTTCCTTTAAATAAAAAAAAAACCAAAACACCAAGCAACAAACCACATGTATATCAAAGCCCCTGTTGGGAAATTTCTCAATCTGTGCCTATCAGATCCACAATACTCCCTGATGTTCAATAATGGGAGACCTCGTCTACCACCACATGTTCTCTCATCACCATCCTCCAGGTCTCCTTTTCAACACGTTCCACTCCTAATGAAATGGCTCAAAACCCAAAAGGAGCAGCAGAACCGACATCTCCCAGCTTGCTGGTCTTTCAGAAGAGAGGAAAGCAGAACTGCTCACACACAACAACATGCCCTCTTCTCACTTTCCACCACAGGCAGAAAGCAAAGGCAAGAGCTGCCAATGCTGCTCCCCCACTTTGGGAGTGGAAGGGGAGCCCCTTCTGATGCCAAGCTAAAGAGAAGGCAGAAGAAACCCACCCCAACAAAAGACACAACTGGAACCTTTCACCACCACCAATCCAATTTCCAGCTTTTTAAGATGTGTGCGTTTTCCTGGAGCGCTGGCAAACCAGGCTGCAGAGCAGTTGTCAGGCACAGGTTTAATTTCTGCTCTCCGGATCTGAGGAACGCCGGCCCGGCGTGTCAAAAGAAGGTTAATGAACGATTTAGCCGCCCTCACAACCACGTTAGTGTCACTTTCGGAAGCTGCGAGTTAATGCCCAAGATCTTCAGGGGTTACCCTCTTTGAAGTTCACTGATCCATAACCAATGTCCAATTAATTTGCAGGAGACTAACTATAATGACTATTGCCCTTTTCCTATGCATACAAAAACACAGTGGGTAACGGCGATGCTTTTGGCTTTGGGATGTTCTCCCATAGGCACGCACATCTGCACACCTTCCAAACAGCTAATGATGGGTTGTCTTCTGCCTTTTGAGGAATTCTTTACATTTGCCCTCCTGAGAGCAGAGTTATGGTGTCAAGATGTATGAACTTTCTGCTGCTGCAAAAAAAAAAGAAGTGGAGCCAATTCAAGATGCTCATTTGCTAACAGAGAAATACTTCTATTGCTTTTGCTCAGACTCCTCTTTATTTAGGATTTCCATGGAAGCCAAGGAATAGAAGTACAATCTTGGGAAGATTAAACAGACCCTCAGATATAATGCAAAACAGCTTATTTCAACATTCCCTCAAGATGAGAAATAAGAAATTCTTCCACACACAGGCAAAAAAAAACCCCAACCCCAACCAAAACACAAACAAAAGAAAAGAAAAGGAAAAAGGTTTGTGGAGATTTTCAAAATAAATTGGGACACAGCCTTTCAAATGCTACAAGCAGCTCTGCTGGGCTTCCAGAGCTCTTACCCAGGTGAGAAAGTATATGAACAAAAAAGGTCTGCAGGATAAAGATGCTTCAGTTTAAAAACCAGCTTATTCAAGACAGTTATTGCTATATAACATCCGGGAAGTAAGTTAATTCAACCACAAGGTCTTGCACAAAGAGGAACAATCACCTCATAAATTAGGATCTCAGCAGATTTTTTTTCAGAATTAAAAAAATGTAGATTACGCAGTTTGGCAGCATCTCCCACCACGGCGCTCTGGACGCTACTAGAGCTGACATACCAACATTTAGAAAATAAAATAAATCACTTATCTTCTGTTACTGCATCCTGAGAAATGACTCCTGCTCTGGTGAGGATGGTATGCATTTCTGTGCTTCCCTACCCACCAGGTCAACCGGGTGTCAGCAGCCACAATGACAGGCTGTTGGGACACTACAAATTACGAGTAACACATTTTTTCTGACCTCCATCCCCCCAGGTAAAGATTTATTTCATGATGTTCCAATCTGGAATGAAAATACCCAAGATCAAGGAACTCTACTCCAAAACACTTTTATTTCACAGCATGTTTCTTAAACCATTTCAAAATCTGGCATGGACATGTTTGGATAATGGGTGAAGTGCAGGTTTTTCTGAAGCCGGAGCTGAAAAGCGCAACGTTGCGTCCAGGTTTTTGCTACCTGCTCCAGTATGGAAACCCAACACAGCTGAACCTCAAAGAAGTGATTTTCAAACTTAAAGCCATTATCACTTAAATAAAAAGTTACTTAAATGGTAGACTTCTCTAATCCTTTGCTTACGGTGGGTCCCTGACTGGTCAGTGAAAATGCACTTCAAGAAACATTCAAGGTTTTTATTAACTCCACAGGAAAGTCCCAGGACCCCGGGATTTTGTTTTTCTGACTCCTGATTAAAACAGCACGAGTCCACGTGAACTTCCTTTCCATCACCCCCCCGCCCCCAAAGAGTTTCAGATGCAACATCCCCTCCTCAAAACCTATAAGAAAAACAAGAACCCAACTGAAAACATTTTGCCAGCTGAAAGGCGCCGAGAGCCGGCGTGGGGCGGGATGCGTTTCCAGCTGCCAGCCTAAAGGGACGACTGAGGGAGATTAAACACAGAAATGCTTTTCATAAAGGCAGGAGGAGGCTTTGAAGAGGACAGTTCAGCTACTTCATTTCATAATCTTCACAAAGCGTCAGATTTTAGACTAAGCAGGTCTTAAAACAAGGAGATTTTAGGGCTTTTTTAAAAAAAAAGGAATTAAAAAAAAGTAGGAATGTGTTCTGGCCGGGTTCTGTTGATTCAGCAAGGGTTAGACACACACACGCTTATTGATCCCAGAGAGCTCCCTGCTAAGTTAATTGTCTGGAATTTTAACTGAGCTCTCAGCAAGTTTCAAAATCCAAGTTGGCTGGAAGTGGGTGGGGGACCCAGAAAAAAAACACAACACACAACAAAAAAAACACAACAGGCTGCAAAACTCCGCGACTCCTCCAGTTAAAAGAACCAGCAGTTGCTTTGATGAAGGGAAAAGCTGCAGCAGGGAATGGTTTTAACCGGATTTGGCCATTCTGACTTTGACACCACCAGAATTCAGCACTGGGAATCTCGTGTGCAAAGCAGCACCATTTTCAGGGAGCTGTATGATCCCTGTCTGACCCATGTCAACATTACAGAGGTGAGGGTATCTCCAGCAAGCTTCTGCAGCCTGTAGTGGCGGCTCATCACAACAATTTCCTGGTGTGTGTTGCCACCACCAGCTGTTTTCACCTGCGTTCTGTACCTGCACACTGACCTGCTGCTGGGGCAGGAACAGCCAGGCTCAGTCTGCAGCTCTCTCCATCCCCTGCACACACACAAGGCCTGCCCACTAAGCCCTACCTGCCTCCAGACCATGTTCAGCAGCAGTTTCCCTCAGCAGGA